GATGCGAAAAACTTTCGCCGTCACCCAATGGCATTGCTGCGTAGAATGAATATTATCGCGGCTAATCGGACACTTTGATTGGTTCCTCGAATCTTTTTTACTTCCGTGCTAACACACGTATCTGTTATCTTAAGGTTCTCGTCGATACTTAATAAGATTGATTGATTCTCTAAACCTTTTTGCTGTTTCTTACGTGAATTTCTGTGTGGTCTGAAAGTTTTCGCTATGATCCTAAGAGATTGACCGATGTCAAAAAACTTTTCACGAGTGTGTTGAAACATGACTGGTTTCCGAAGCTTTTTATTCTTCCTTTCAAAATTTTCTCCGCGATTGTAAAGTTTTCTATCCCATTCACAGGAATCTCTTGAAGCCTGAACCTTTTTGCTGGTACTTCATATGGTAGGATTCTCAAGCTTTTTGATCTCCCTCTCACCAATTCCTCTGCAATGCGAAGGTTTTTGCTGCCACCCAAAATCATTCAATGAGTATGCTGAAGATTCTCCCGGCTAACTTGGCACATTGACCAGTTCTCTTAACCTTGTTGGTTGGTTGTCTCACGTATGTCGCTGTGGTGCAAGAGTTGTCGCCGTCACGACAATGTTTCCTTGAGTAGCGTGAAGCTTTTACCGGCCACTCTAGCACATGAGTAGATGGTATGAAGCTATTTGCGGTTCCTCACACACATTTCTCTGTAGTCTAATAATTTTCGCTGTCTTTAAAATAGACTCATAGTAGCTTGAAAGTCACCGCGACTGCGTTAAGACATGGATGGATTCTTCGAAGTTCGTTTACTTTGCTAACACATTTCTCTGTTCCTAGCAAATGCTCACTGTCACAGAAATACATTGGTGGCTAGATTGAAACTTTTCGTTATGGCTTTTATGTATCGCTCGATGTTCGAACCTTTTCGAACTCTTTCACTCTTCTGGTGCATTCGCCTGCAGTTCTAAGGATATTAATGTATGTCTTAAGCAATCCCAGTATGACACAATACTTTTCGCTGACGGTTAATCTATTGAATGAATTGCTAGCAGCTGTTCGACTTTTTTGTGGCATGTAATTTCTCGGTGTCTCACGCTGTTTGCTCTGACTTAGACACATTGATCGATGGGCTAAGTGCTCTGATTGGCTGTCTTACGAATCTTTATTTGAGTTTAAATATTTTGATGTTATTCTTATGATTTTCTGTATCGCTTGAAACTTTTCGCTGATATCTTGATAAATGGCTGGGTGATCGCGGCTCCTGTACCGTTGTCGTCATCAACGTTTGTGAGAGCACGATTTTTTATTCGTGACTCTCAGCTATTCACATACTACTTGAAGCTTTCAGCTTTCATCCTGATAGATTTCTCTATTGTCCAAAGCTTTCCAACCGAAAGCTTTTCTACAGTTACTCTTACTCACGTCCAAGGTTCACCATTGTATTAGTGTCCTTTTTATGCGTAGTCTTATTAAATTCGTAGTTATATTACATTGGTTTTGGTTTCTTATCTCTTTAATCATTGAAATTGATGAATAGAGCGGGAAAACAAAAGTAGTAGACTATTTGGAGTTTCTTGGCACTAACTATATAGTATTCAAAATAGTTTATTTTGTTTCTCGAATCTTTCTATTGATTAACTTACCACGATCAAGTAATTGAAACCAAAACGTTCTGGGTAAAATTGATAATATGTTGTTGTTGATAGAGTTGTTTTGAGTCTTACACCGTTTGCTTTTTGTCTTCAAGTGATTCGTATCTTATTTCTGCAGCCTGTCAAATATTGATCTTCCGATGCTGACTATATTTGCTTCCTTCTTTTTCGTCTTTTTAAAATTCTTATCAAATAACCACTCTAAGAAAAACTGCATATAACAGCAACAAAACATTCACCGAAAGAGAAGACGACGAGTGATCGTAAAGAAGCAAAAAAAAGGTCATACTTATTGAATGAAATTCATTTCTGTACAATGTGAGGTAGTGGGAATCATTCAAAATTAGACAATGACTAACAAGAAAGCATTTCATTACATCTTCATTCTATGATTTGATTACTGATAGTTAACACAACACTACTGTTCTGAGAAAAGTTGTTACATTTTATTTCATGTTAAAATAAACAAGACTTAAATTATCAGGAACATGAGACAATTTTCCTTGTAGATGATACAAATATTGATGATTTTCAGTTCAATTCATTTTTCAATTTAAACATATATTTTAGAAGATACGACGCTTCATCTTATTTTTTGTCTCAATAAAAAAAAAGAGGAAAAAGAAAAGCATTTAACTTGTTCATTTGAACTTGAACTTCAAAAATATTTACATTCTCAAGGGAATATTTCGAACAAAAATTGGTTTATTTTCTACCTAGTTCTTATGAGAAAAACCAATTTTTCAAGACGATCTAATATAAATATAAAAATTGAAACGGTAGGTATAGGCTATTTCAAATTCTGGTGGATTATGTGAAATCTTATTCAATACGTTTTGTCGATTGCAGGAGAATTATAAGGATTTATGGGACACACGTGGCAATATAGACATATCTTGAAGTTTTCTTTTGATAATATCTCATAATCGAGAGACGTTGATACAAATGAAATCAAACTTTAGTGGAATCTCCAGTGATTTTTTCACAAATCAATTGAATATACACTGAAAGTAAGTCAAAAAATATTGTATTAAACAGAAAGTTTGAACTTTATCAAGATGAGAGGGTGACTTTAAATAAATATCCATATCTTAAGATCTGTTTACGAATAAAACATCGATTAAAATCTATTGACACTAGAAAAATCAGTATATAACATCAGCATGTTGTTCTCTCTAATCTTTTTTTGTGAAACTGTTCGTGATATCTCAGGCAGTTAAATAGAGATTCAATAGAAGCGAAGTTTTTGTTGTCTTATGACGATAAACTATGTCAATACTTACTATCTATATCTTGATAAGAATGTAAATTATAAAGCACAAATATAAAATATTTATCCTTGCTATTGAAAAAATGAGAAACTAGATGAGATCGTAAAAAATGAATATTTTTTTTCTATCTGTTTATTCTCTGTTCTTCTTTTCAATATACAGAAGAATAAAAAGCAGAGTTATTGATTTTTTTATTTGTTTCCTTCATAGTTATTTCAAATTTTCATTACTGACCATCGATAAAACGAAAACTTCCAAAGATGTCAGCAACATTCGATTTTTAAATCATCGCAACACAAAATAGCGATTTGAGTGGAGGATTGAGAAAGCCAAAACAAAATCACGAGCAATTACTATACAGTGCTTCACACCGTAAAAAATAAACACCTACTCAATCGTTTAACCGCGACGGTCAAAAAATGACGAAAAATATTTGGTAAAAGGTTTTACCGGAATTTCAAATATGCTACAAAGTTCTCCAAAAAAAAACTCTGTATCTTTTGATATATGTTTCAAGATTTTAGAAGAAATGTACGCAAGAAAAATTTTTGAAGTAAAAACTGCGAGAAAAACCAGAAAAATTCTTTTCTGGCAGAATGCCATCATTGCTCTTTCTTTAATTCGACATAACCTAATGTTTCTATTCTTCTGTTTAAAAATACATTTCAAGATACCATTAGATATTGATTCAAAGTCTTTTTATTCTGAACAAAGGCAGCAGAAACAGTGAAAAGATCGTGGAAGCAGAGAGTGCGAAACTGTCTCTCCGCCAAAGCTTTCACACGAGTTATCATTTTAGTTATTGCAAATGTTGGACAAAAAAAAAAACGAAGTGCATGAAAAATTTTTCTTTCTGTTGAGCTCCCTATAGACACACTGAGGTTACTACTGGAGATCAGAAACCGAATGGTGTTGATTCAATCTCGATATTTTCATCTTGCATTTGAACGAATATTTAAAACAAAACAGAGAAAAAAAAACTTACAAAGGACTAAATCACTCTTGTTCAGACAATTTCAATTTTTCGAGCAAAGCTTTACAGATGCTATTAAATTAGTCTTGATCAAGCGCCGTCTGAACATAAAAAATTTTTCTCTAGACGTCAAATTTATGTACTTTGCGATCACTACTTTGCCTGGAAACATGTATTTAAACATCATCACAGATTAATAAATTTATATTCTCACTGTTCGTAATATCATGATCTGGTGTGAGTGAGAGTATGAAAGTCATTTTGGTAGAGAGTACTTTCGAAAAATCTCTATCTTTCCTATTAAAATATCAATTATTAGCAAATAAAATTTTATGAAACTTTTTTACATAATAAACAATATATTCAATTAAAACCGAAACCATTTCATAAATTCTATTGAGATGATTTATTTTGAAGTAATAATTATACAGCTTTTGGGGCTCTTTCTTACGGGATTAGTAGGAAAAATTTTTTGTGTAATAAAAACTAAAACGGCTGTCCTCCAAAAAAAAAACATTCGTGTCTCAGTTTTGTCATTGTGCAGATATCTTCAATAAATTGTCTTGAACAAAAAAAGCTATTAAGCTTGTTTTCCTCTACTTTAGTTTTTTACATCACGATGGAACTATTATTAGAATATAAATTGAAAACGCGCAAGAAAAAGTTTACTACTATGGAAGAGTATTATTGTCATTGAATCAATGTAAAATAGTACATTCTGATGACGAATGTGTATAGGTTGTCAACCGTTGTTTGGAACATTGATGTTTTCTTTGTTGTTATCGAATTCGTAAAATTGATTGCACTCTCAGAGGAATTGCACTCCAAGCTTTATTACGTTGAAGAATAAAATGCATTGGTGAGAAAAAAAAAAGTTCAATGATATATTCATGAAAATATAAATTCATTCTACCCATTGACTATAGTTAATTAAACAATGGTGTACATTGTTTATTATTTCTCAAATTATTTTAAGATATGACATGCATATTCACATATGATTATTACATATATTCAGTCAATTGAATATTTATGCTGATTGTTTAATATTACAGATTTATAATATACGTGCCATTTATTGATTGTACAGAGAGAATAGACAACAAAAAAAAAACAATGTTTTTAGGCAATAGTTGAAGCTTTATCTGCATAGTTCGCATTAAAAAAGACTCCACGCATTGATAATGTATTGATCTGTTTCGGTGTTGGAAAAATCGTCAGTTTATCATAAGTTCCTGGACCAGGTACTTTTGCTAATTTTCTGTGAAATCGATCAGTACGACTTCTAAATGAGGATGTTATTGTTGGACTATGTACGTTGATCACATTAGTTTTAGGTTCATAATCACTAGGTGCTGGACCGATTTTCTATATCGAGCATAAAAAGAAACAAAAAGCTTTTTTTTTCAATCTAATAATGATATGAAAGAACTTACTGGAAGGAATAGTCTTCGTGTAGTTTTTGACTTAAAAAAACTATGTCTACAAAAACCATCATGAGAAAAATTATTTGTTAAATTATAATTTAATCATAGTATCTAATTGACCTGGCTGATTCAATAGAAACATCAATTGTATGATATTTTTGTGTTTCGTAAAGTCCTGGTGGTACATCAATATCCTATGAAAATTTTATATATTTTTTTTTTGTTAACAAATAGAATTAGAATAGGTTGCTTGACGTACCTTATCTTGATTAACTGACATTGTTTTTTTTAAAAGACCTTCTCGTTCAGGACCTTTGAAACCATATGAAAGTCGAAGTTGATTCATTCTACAAGTATATTTCAATATCTTATAAAGAATATTAATAAATTAGTACTATACCGTTCTACAAAGTCTTCCACTGCATATGCACCAGGTAATAATTCTTTACCTTTAGGTTCTAATGGTTGTGGATCACGTCGTCGTCCATCACTTTTAAAACCATATGTCATTGGACGAGCTACTATTTCTTTGATAAATGTGTTCAAATGTGTATTGTATGTACCAGGAATTGGTGTATTCTATATATGGAAAAATATGAATATACATTTTAAAAAAATCGAAATATACTTATTATCTTACTTTGATTGTAGTACGCCACCAACTTTCACGATCGGATACTGGAGGTTCATAGTT